GTTAAAAATCATATTACACTTAAGAATATTTAATCATGCAATATTTTTCAGGATTCCTTTTGTGCTCTATCTCGGTTGAAATTTTTAAAGGTGATATGTAAATTTTACTATAACATTGTGTGTTAACCTTCATGTTTTTCTTGGCTAAGGTTAGAAGTCCTTGATCATAAATGATTTTAACATTCTATAGAGTCAGAATCAAAGTATATTTAGACCAGAAAGCTAACACATTATCTTATGAATTCCAAGCACAGAAAAGACATTTAGAGAATGAAATTCATAAAATAAAAAATATACAGAAAACCACATGTATTACATTATAAGAGTACAAAAATAATATTTAACTATGATGCCTGAGAGTAAGTATAAAAATTATTATTGCGGACATAAAAAAGAAAAAAATGAAAGCAATATAGAAAACTCACACTTGAGTCAATTTTTCCTTATAATATTTCGTCATCTGCTCCATTCAATACACAAACTTTTCATAAATCTTACTTATAAAATTACACTTAATCTCTCCTCAAACTCTAAAAAAATATCGTTGAAATCTTCTCCAAAGGAAAGAAAAATAGAAAAAGCCCTAAGGTTTGTAAGACTCCCTAAAGACAATAAGAAAGCCTGCCTCTAATGTCCTAAAAATGCCCCAATTAACCAATAACATCTTCTTATATATCTCTCTCCAAAATCACCACGAAAAACTTGTCAATTTATTCCTAGTCAAGCCAACTTGTCAATTTATTCCTCGTCAAGCCACATCATAGTTACGTCCGTGCCAAGAGAAATTATACCATTAGCCAGTGTAACTACGTTAAGTTCTGATGTAACTACACCAGACCAACAACAAGAGTGGCAACTTATGCTACAGAGTTGTGTAATTATGTTGGATCAGCATTCTTGCCCGCTTCGAGTTTTGGCTTTATAATGCATGATCGACCCCTGATGATATTTAAAACAGGTAATGTATGTAATTTTGAGTCATATTAATAAAATAAAAGTATTATAAAGTTTCACATTAGTTAAATGCATATGTACTTGGGTCAATTATTCTTCAAGGTTGAATCGTCAATTTGAATGAATTCTCTTAAATTTATCAATAGCATTAGATATTCACTCAAATATATTATTGAACTTGGAGTTTTAAAGCATAAGTGGGTTAGATGGATACCAGGCAAAGTCATAAGTCTAGGAGTGTTTGGTTAGATTTCACTTCTGAATTGAGGTGAGGTCTATAAGTTCTACTTTGAAATTGTTAGAACATATTTTTAAGAGTCTACAAAAATAGTAGTTCTCACCTTAATTTTATGTTTCAAGAGAAGCCCAATTTCTCCATGCATGATATAAGTCATCACCTATGTGTATTCATATGATCTTTTTTAATTGGAATATAAGTCTTAAATTTATATTAAAATAAAAATTTTAAATCAAAATTAACCACAATTTGTAAAACATAAAGCCTAATCATAGATAGCCTAAAGTACTATTGAGCATCTTGGTATGTGGTACTACCTACTCATGTTCCTTGGTCTTACAATAATAAATAATTCAAAATTGATTCTAGCCCAACTAAAATTCCTAATGACCAATCCTGAAATCCAAAATTTGAATTTTATAGAAACATAAGAGCCACTTTTTTAATTGAGATTTTTCATAGAATATGATCTCTTCAAGTATTAATTAAGAATATGAACTTACCCTCATAGGGAACATGTATTCATAAAATTAATCATATCCTACCAAAACAGGGCATGGATAAAATCTTTGGCACCATAGATCTAAAGTTTGAAATCTTCATTTTGTAATTAGATTCATTGATAAATAGTATCTTTTATCTTTCAAGATGATATATTATTTGTTATTTCATATTCGATCACAAAAAAAAAAAGAATTTCCTACTCTTTTGTTGTCCACATTCTTCAGTAAGCAAGGCTGAATTGACTCAAAACCATATGCCTAAGCACACTTAATCAAGTTTTTACTTAAGCTGACAACCAGACTCATGGGGCCACACTCAATAAACACCTCAAGTAAATCTAAATCCTTTAAAGCCTATCCAATTAACACTTGAATCAAATTCATAGAAATTGTCAAATTAAGAAGAATTAGTTTAGCTCTAACTTCTTAGTTATCCATTTATAAAGAAATGTCTCCAAACACTGGCATACTCTCGAAGGCATATCCTTAACCATCCTAAGCTAAGATTTACATGATTTCCACTATATTATTTAAAAACACCAGAAGCTCAACCTATAAAAAGATGGTTAACCAAAGTTTCTAGGGTCATCCTTTCGAACTCAAATCATTCCCTAGCCCTTAAGAAAGCATTTCAATCAATCCGTAAGCCACTTCTTACTTCAAAATAATAACAAAATAAAAAAAATTATTAAACTTAGTTGAAACAATCTATCATTCCCTAGCCCTTAAGAAAGCATTTCAATCAATCTGTAAGCCAATTCTTACTTCAAAATAATAACAAAATAAAAAAATTATTAAACTTAGTTGAAACAATCTATGGTCGTTTTGACTCTTAACATGCAACCATCATTAAATATTAACGATTGAAGGAGAATCGACATGGTGGTCAAACAAAAATAATGGGGCATTGAATCATATTCAAAATCAACAGACACTGACAATTCCTGAACTAGTTTAATTTTCTTTTTTGGCTTGATACCTTACGATAGAAACAATAACCCTAAATTAATCTAGCTATTTATATCATTTGCATCATTTGTTTTATTATCGAGCTAGAGATGTATAAATTCATTACTCGATCTCACATACTTTAGGGGTTTTTTTAGTGATTGCAATTTTATTTTATGGTTAAATAAAGGAGCCAAATTATGTTTATTTTGTAATAAAGTTTGAATAAAGAAATATACTACTCATGCATTTCAAAAAAAAAAAAGGAAAGATGAAAAAAAAATTACTCCTGGTATTTTGAATTTAATTAAAATATTAATTAAATTCAAATGAATCATTAATAAAATAAAATTAAATAAATCAAAGAAATACATAAAATAAGTTAAAAATAAATCTAAATTTCTTTGGAATTAAGCTTAGGTAATCCTCACTTTCAGACTAGTTTTCTATAAAATTTGGATTTATTTGGCTTCAAATAAATAAAAACATATCATTTCTTATACTAAAGTTATTGTCAACATTTTAAGATCAAATCAAATTTATATCAATCATATTATTGCACATTCAATCTTCCTCACAAAACTAATTACTTTTCACCACAACTGCAAAAATTCTAAGACAATAGCATTACTTTTTTTCTCTTTTCCTAGACGGACATCTTACTATTTGTAGTGTTGAATATTGAGTCACGAAAGTAACTCCTACCACGGCGTCTACCACGAAAAATTATTTCATACGGACGGGTCCGATCCTGACCATAAATCAGGTGATCTACAGTTAGGATGAATTTCGGTGGGTCCCACCTAATTTTTTTTAAAAAAAAAACTAAAATATATCTTGTGATCTACGGTCAGATCGGTCACCGCAAGCAGAGATGCTTGCGGTGTCCGTATGCAATAATTTCTCGTCTACCACGACGTTTACCGTGTTACTTGAAAAACCAATCATAAAAAGAACATTATAAGGGGCTTAAAAACCCAATAATAATATATCATTATTACAAAGTTGTTTAGGACTAATTTTAATTTTAAATTTTTTACTTTATTTTGTTTTTAAAAATACTTATTTAGTACATCTACAAGAGAGCTAGTAAGGGAAATATGGCTGATCTTCGCTTGAAGATTGAATCAAATTTTAACTAGATTCAACTTTCAAGTCACATGAGCCTAAATAAAAAGTACTACACACTTTTTTTAATGCATGCACAAATGCATGTTAAAGTTATAAATATGTAATCATGTATATAAAATAAATTAGAAAACAAGGCTTCAT